CCGCAAGTCCAATTGCTTTGATATTAGATATATAGGTACTACATGTGGTCCACTCTCAATTTTTTTCATTTCATGATGATATCTTTAATTTTCTAATTTTGGTGAATATTTTTGTCATTTTTGGTAAGAAGTGATATTTTCGACTTCTTGTTAAAAACCACAAGTCCAATTGCTTTGATATTATATATATAGGTACTACATGTGGACCACTCTCAAATTTTTACATTTCATGATGATATCTTTAATTTTCTAATTTTGGTGAATATTTTTGTCATTTTTGGTAAAAAGTGATATTTTCAACTTTTTTTTAAAAACCGCAAGTCCAATTGATATTGTTCATTTTCTAATATATCTTCTGTTCTTTAATTGAAATGTGCATTGCTAACAGCGGAGCTATCTCAGCCGAGAGGCTGCTTGTTACTTTTGTTGGTTATTGTTTATGGCTTAAAATAACACTGAGACATAGTCTCTTTAGAATAATAGCTGCGATAATCACAGACATGAGTAAAGGTTTGGAAATCAAGCATGGCAGTAATGATTATGAGTGTGGTGGTTTCAGATGCTGTTTGCGTCTTGGGGAGAACACTGCGTTCCCCATAGAATCAGTGTGTGATCAACACTCGCATCTGTCTTTATCTGTACCTGGATTTTGTTGCCCTTTTAACATCTGTCACCACTGTGGCCAAGTAAACTTTGAACATTTCATACTTCCTAGGTTAGTTGTGTTGAGTTTGCTTTTTTAGCAGGATTCAAAGCAGGTTTCAGTTACTGGCTTATTCCACTACATATAATTGAATAATAATCAAGTAATATGTTGTAACTTTAACTCAAATCACACTTAAATATTCTTCTTTTTCAACACACTTCTGTATGCTTCCTATTTGCTGCCGTTTGTCGTGAGGTGGGTCTCTAAGATGATGATCAAAATGATATCTGCAATTTTTGTTGAAAACTTTTGTAATTACTAAATGTATGTATGTAAACTGTCTGTACTTTGGTGAGTTTTTATATTATCACAAAAGTCCTTGCTAGTGATGGGTACGCGGAACCCCAAAACGTTTTTCACTCACTATATATTTATTGTAAAAATATATTGGTACATGTACTAGTAAGATTCTTTATTGTGCCTTCTGTGGAAATTTCAGGATGAACTACATCTCAAGTTATTGATTAATATGGGTAACATACAACACTGTTAAAACAAAATTCTGTTTCCACAATTTCCACCATTTTTCATTAAAATATGCTCATAAAAATGCAGTTCGTACGTGTGGAACCTAACAGACTAGACGGATTATATATTGTTTTTATATTACCACAGCTAATCTTACTACTATGACATCTGTGTGCATAAAGAACCTTAAAACTTAAAAAGTTGTGCTTTAATTCTTCAGATCAAACACCTGGTGGCAATCATCGATGTGAACTTTGTAAGAAGACATTCAGTACTGGGCTTGTGGTTGTGGAACACTACCAATGTAAACACAAAGTTGCCTTCCCAAGGGAGAATAGCAACGTCAACAACTCAAACTTCCAGTCTACTAACCACACTAATCTTCAGCCAGTTGTTCTACATAATTCCTCAAGGAAGAAAAACCATGATGAGAAAAAAGATAAGCCAGCGAGTGATGAATCAGATGCACACAGAGAAGACAATGACTTCAAATTTTTGTTGATTACTGAGAAGGTAAAAGGCGCAAAGTTTGAGTATGGCAAAACAGCTTTCAAATGTCTGTTTTGTAATCATAAAACACAGACTAAAAATGTTCTTGTGAAACACGTAACAAATAAGCATGCTGATGTTATGGGTCAAGAGCCAGAAGTTCCAGTGGTTTTAAACAATGACACATGCAAGGAACAGGTCATGCTGCTTTCTGAGTACAATAAGATGAATCAATGTTCTCTGAAAAATCCCCTTGAGCATGGAAGAAGTGCCAGAAAGCATAGAGCTAAGAAGTATAAAAAAGATGATCCCTGGGGGATTTATCCCTGCGAGTTTTGCGAGAAGGTGTTCAATCGTGCCAGGTCCTTGAGGGTACACTTGGAAACTCATCGCACAGAGAAAAACTTTCTGTGTGATGAGTGTGGAAAAGCGTTCAAATCACAAACAAGGCTGCGTGTACACAGACGAGTGCACAGGAACAAAATATTCAAGTGCATTCAGTGTGATTTCCAGTCTAATATTAACGCCGCAATACATGCCCATAGGCAGATGCACACTCAGGGGTCAGTGCTTTGTGACATATGCGGCTATGCTTATACTGACAAATCTACACTGCACAAGCACATGCGAGTACACTCCAGGGATAGGCCGTACGGTTGTACATTTGAAGGCTGCACTTGGAGATTCAAAACTGAGGCTATGTATAAAGCCCATATCAGGGCACATACCAGCGACGGAAAATTCAAGTGTAGTTTTTGTGGGTATCTTTTTCGACACAAACACCACTTGCAGAGACATGAAACGAACATGCATGGTGTGAAAATTACAAAATCAGTACGCGTTCAGAAGGAAGAGAAAGTTGCGATTGAGCTGGCTGATGCAACTACAGTGACAGTGGGGCCTCAGATACAGCACATTGTAGTAGATGGTGCAGGCAATGCCATATCATATGAGCAAGCTGACTTTGCTACCTTGAATTACCAAACTTTGATTCAAACACCAGAAACAAGACAAATACTGCAGGCTGCGCAAGAGCAAGAAAACCCAACTGTTTTTTCATGAACAATAAATTTCGCTTACTAAACAACCTTGCTCAGTATAAATAAATCTTTTGGTAATGTATTCAGTGTACATATGAATAATCTGTGGTTTTATTCAGTTCAAAGTTGAACTATGATGCTTCATGTATGATGTTTATTTTTGTGGTACATTCTTGCATAGAGGAAATCAGTCTTGTTGTGAACTGTGACATGTACTACTGTATTTGCATTAATGTGCTTTAATACATTGCTGAAACAATTAGCTCAGACTCCGTATTATCTATGATGTGCTGTCTTAACTAATTTTGCATTTAGAATGTTTTGTACACATTAATGATATATATTGCTCAGACAGTGAATATTAAATTATCTTTTCTGAATGTTGATCTAAAGCATTTATTATTGAGAGTATTAACTGGCATGTAACAGAGGTTGATGTGATTATGTACTGCAAATGCAGTATCAATAAAAATCAATAAAATTCAACCCTCCATAAGACCTCATACAGACATGCTCAAAAGCATTTATGCTTGAATGTGTTACGGACACATTCCTAATTTGTCAAACGTGTGTTGTATTCATGTCACTTTTCTTCTTTGTTTACGTCAGACACAGCAACAATGTAACATAGCAGACACAGGCACGAAATCTTGTAAAATGCTTTTCTGTGGCATTTTTGGCTGTTGTATATCTAAAATCAAGAAAATATTTGCAACAATAAGGTTATCACCTTAATACTACAAAGTTTGAAATTGAGCAGTATGGTATCGGTCGATATGGTTGTTGTACTGCTATTTTATTTTCTTATTAACCTTGTATTATAGATTGCCTTGTGTATGAACCCCACAAATGAGCGAAGTAGGTGTGTGTGGGGTGCAATTTAGTTTTATCCTGGAGAGGAATTAAACAATTGGACCTCAGTCTGGTTTAAACCATTACCATTATTAGGGGTCTTCATCAGTCCGTCCAGAGTGATTTCTTGGAGATGGCCATACATGTGTACGTCAATTTATTTTTCTATTCTATCAAATATGGCTGAATTTTAATGCCAAAATTCAGTCAAATTTGATTCTTGTGTGTTCGTCATTTTTCGAAGATGGCTTGACCGATTTTGTTGAGACTTGTTACAAAGACAAAGGGACTTTTTTGAAATGATCAAATATTGCCAACTGACAGCCATTTTGATTGTTAATCATGGCTTTTGTCTGTCCATTAATATTTCTCAGAGATGCCTCAACTGATTTCAATGATACAAAATACAAAGACACAGTGTGGAGGTATACATATTCCCATTTTGAATGTCATTTTTTTGGGGTGTGTCCATCATCATTTCTCGGAGATGCCTGGACCGATTTTGCTGAGACTACAAAGACAGAGTGACCACTGGTACAGATGCACATTGATTTATTTTTTCAAGTAATCAATTAATGAGCTCATTTGCATATTTAATTATTAATTTGAATTCTTGTGAACCAATAGTCCGAATGAGACCAAACTTGGTATAGACTTACTTGATCTGTCAATATAAGATGTGTGCTAAACAATATTGACTTTCAACTTAATTAATGAGCTTATTTGAATATTTAATTAATTTTGATTTTTTTTGTTAATATCTTGTGAAATAATTGTTCATGTATTTGCTATTTAATATTGACTTTAAATTGAATTTCCATATTTAGTTGATAGTAAATTTTTGTTGAAATTGGATGCAAATTTTATCAAATTTAACAGATGTCCTAGCTGTTAACTTTGAGTAACATAATTTTGATTTTCAACTTAATCTTCCTACTCGATTTTATACATATACATGTACATTCAAACTTTATAATTCATAGCCAACTATAATCACATGTGACAAGTGGGGGGGGGGCTGTTTCATCTTCAGATGAGCCTGTGTAACTGTCATCATTTATAGTATCTCTCATTAGTGGAATAAAATCTTGTTAAACAGTACAGTTAACAGTACCAATTTCCATTAAAGTAGTTTAGTGCTGTCTGAATACTCGTATAGCGAGGGAATGAGAAGGGGGAATTCCCTACTAAACACTAATGAATAATAAATTTTACTGCTTAGTTGCACTCTTTACTAGGGTTTCAAATGCCTTCATTTTTACTATGGTTTATTTGATTTTCAGTTATTGGGACAGAAATGGGGAATCCCCTGTTTATGTTCGTCTAGTTGTGTGCATGTTTGTAGTGCTCTATAGAGAGGTGTACAATAAAGTATGCACATGTTTTTCCATGCCATAGATATTCACAACTACATTCATCAGTTCTATATAAATAAGTTGTGTGCTATTTGTAAGGTTTATTTGTTTATCTTTTCATTATATACACAATTTTGTTTTTGCCTTACTCTCTCAAATTGTGATATAGCAAACACTTAAATTGTAGCAGTGCAATTCACTTGTACTGTTACAGTAATATATACATGTACATTTGGTAGATGAATTTGTGTTATACATTGGTTTTTTGACAATTCACACAGCTTGGTCTCGATGCAGTTTGTCATACCACTGGTACTACCCTTATCCTGTCAGCCCCATGTATACTAGTACTTTGAAATTACCAGATAATGGTTCAAGTTTTGGCCAGTACTTTACTAATTACCTCTGTTTGGGCTTCATGTCATAATACTGCTGCAGTAACTTTCAAAAGTAATGCACGTTTCAAATTTAAGAAACCGCCAGTTGGAAAGTGTTTTCCTATCTCCCCATTTATGGGCAGTGCATGTTTGTAAGTTTCCTTCACTTCAATATCATAATTACATTTCAAAAACAACTAATGTTATAATTTGTTTAGCTCCGCTAGCTTATCATATGAGTGATTGTCCGGTGTCGTCCGTCGTCGCTGTCCGTATCAATGTTTTACTTTTTCGACTTCTTCTTGAAAACTACAAGCCTGAATGCTTTGATACTTCGTGTATATGTACCTTGGGTAGACCTCTCACAGATTTGTTCATTTCCTGATGATATCTTCAATTCTCTAATTTTGGTGAATATTTTTGTCATTTTTGGTAAAAAGTGATATTTTCAACTTCTTGTTAGAAACCAATAGTTCAATTGCTTTGATATTACATATATAGGTACTACATGTGTACCTCTCTCAGATTTGTTCATTTTGTGATGATGTCTTCAATTCTCTAATTTTGGTGAATATTTTTGTAATTTTTGGTAAAAAGTGATATTTTCGACTTCTTGTTAGAAACCAATAGTTCAATTGCTTTGATATTACGTATATACCGATAGATACTACATGCATACCTTTCTCAGATTTGTTGGGTGATACCAAGGTGGAAAATGGTTGCACATATGAGGGTAATTCCTGGAATTGCAATAGAGAGGGTTCAAGCCAAAATACACTATATAGTGTTTTCATGTTTCGACTGATATTTCTGTGGTATTCTGCTGCTGTAACTAATGCAAGATTTGTTCCGAAATTCAGTGTATTGTGTGCACTCAAGAGTTATTCGTTTTTTTGCTGAAAAGACCCCTATTTTTTAATGGCAGATTCGAACTAGGTTAACTCCCACCGAGAAATATGCATTGTCGCTTGAATGAGAGCTAATTAAACACTTTTTCCAGACCGGCGAAAGAGTATGCAACAGCCAAGTGTAACAGCCTATCACGTGATTTTACTCAGAATGTCAACATGGAAAGAGGCTATTCCATTTTACGCAGGAATAATTGGGAGTAGAATATGTGAAGGATTGTATCAACAGAGATGTGTATACTGAAAAGTAATATCTATCCTTCTTTTGCATCGCTGAGCTTTTCTTTTTTAGTATACTTGTTTAAAAATGCTATATTTGCATGATTTGCGATGTTTTTTTTTAGGGGAGTGTAACAGCACACCACATGGTTCGTTTGAATACAATGGTGAAGGGATGGCACGATAGGGCACCGTCCGATCTCGATAGAATGTTTCGAATCAGTCATCCGTAGTGACGGAATGACTTTCGTCGACAGCGGTCGTTGATGAGCTGCACGCTACAACGTGTGATGTTGCTTGTTAGCCGTGGATTGAATGAATCTTGATTTCCGGTAAAAATGTCGCTCATTTGACATTGGTATCTTTATTTGGAACTGGGTAACGCCGCAATTTCGCCAGCAGAAACCTCCTGGTACTTTGATGTTGATGGTCTATGATAAAGCTCATTCAACATACATCAAGTTCTCTCAATCGTAGTATTCCATGTGGTGTACAACTAATATTAGGGATTTCAGTCACTTGGTTAATGACATCAAAAACTACAAAATACGTGAGCAAAACTAAAAGCAAAAAAAAGAAAAAAAATGACCATGAATTCTATCTCTATATCTTATGGCAATTTTCTGAAAATTGCAACTCATTGCGAGTAGCCGTTTTGACAACACTGGAGAATAAAATTGAAACATTTGAAAATCCTGGCAAGCGCTGTGAACGCGAGCGTGACCTCCAAATTTAACCCGGTGTTCTAAATCCAGAGAAGTTTGCTGCGTTTTCCCCGCGTTGGAATGGACCGTAAATGCCACTGAAATCAAGTAGGGGATGACAGCTATAGAATGAGAGGTGATAGGCGAGAATCGGTCGAAAATTGGCGAAACGGCAATAAAAACAAAAGTTAAACGTCAATTTTCGTATCGACTTACAAAATTCTGGCACATATATCACTCATAATTTGAAAAAATATATATTTAATAGACAAAAATCTAGGTTTTGTGAGTGTGACATCAATTTAAAGAGTGCGTAAAAATAAGCAAAGCTTGGTAGAACGCATAGCCGGTCGATGAGGGCGTTTTCAATGCATTTGTATAAGAATAAAAACGAAGGCAACATAAACGAACGTAAAACTTGTTTATCTTTATTGACACTGACAGATGATTTAAAATGAAATTTGAATATGGCCCGTTTCTATGGTAACAGAC